GTCGACTTAATAGCACACATTTTTCTTTTCTTTTTTTTACGTGTTTTATTTTTACTGATTTCAGAGAGGAAGGGAGAGGGAGAGAGAGAGAAACATGGATGAGAGAGACATCAGCTGCGGGCCGCCTCCTGCCCGCCCCCCGCAGGGAGTCGGCCTGCAGCCCTGGCTCTGGGCTCCTGGCTCCACGTTCAACCACTGAGCTGCACCTGCCGGCCGGCGCCCGCGGGGCCCGTTTCCCGACGGGAAGGGACAGTGGTCGTGGCGTGTTCGATGCTTTAGCCTGAGATGCGACCCCTTCCTGCGCCCTGCGCGTTAGTCAGAAAAGTCTCTCGTGAACGCCGACGCCGTGGGGACGCTGCAGGCGGTGTGTGCGGGGATGGTCCCCTCGCCGCTCGGCGTCTTGGTGAGGTCGACGGTGTTTGCTCCGCTGGCGGCCCAAGATGCCGAAACTGAGCGAGGTTTTCCACCCGCCCCGTGGGGACCCAGAGCCGGAGACCACCACCCAGCCTGTCTAGACCGGGGTGTGGGGGGGCTGTCCTGGGACCGTGCAGTGTTTCCCGAGAGCTCCGGGACGTGGGCTCCGGGACGTGGGCTCCAGTTCTGGAGAACAGACCGACGGCCCATCTACAGGAAGGGAGTAGAGTTTTCCTGAAAGCGAAAGCCCAAGTTGTGGAGGAATGGTGGAGCGTTCTGGGTTAGCATAGTGGGTTGAGTACTCGTATCTGACTCTACGCCCTCCTGAAATCTCACTAGAGTTACAGTAAAGGGATTTTTAAAAAAAGACAAATCCAGCCTAACCAGTTTGGCCCAGTGGATAGAGCATCAGCCTGCGGCCTGAGGGGTCCCGGGTTCGATTCTGGTCAAGGGCATGTACCTTGGTTTCGGGCACATCCCTGGTGGGGGATGTGCGGGAGGTGGCTGATCCATGTTTCGCTCTCATTGATGTTTCTGACTCTATTCCTCTCCCTTCCTCTCTGTAAAAAATCAATAAAATATATTTTTTTAAAAAAAGACAAATCCACAAGGATGGTGAGAAGGGGAAAGGAAACAAAGCAATCAAATACTGGGCACTAGAAAGGAAATGTCTTAGCACATCTTAGCTTAGCTCTGAACCAGCAGCGGGGAATACTGTGGAGCAGTCTTCTATAATAATAAAAGCGTAACATGCTAATTAGACCGGGCAGCCAGAGGACCTTCCAGGCGAAGCCTGGGCTGCAAGGGCCGAGCCCCTTGCACGAATTTTGTGCATTGGGCCTCTAGTTGTATATAAACCACAGACATCTTAAGACTGCACAGAAACTGGCCGTGAAAGTCATGGTGCTGAGGATGGATGTAGAGGGCTTAGGTAAAGACTTGGGTAACATCTATTTGAAAACGAATTAGATCTGGATTTCTTTTCCCATTCACACCTTTCTCCCATTATCTTGAGAATTAAACAGAGGACTTCCGGCACAGTTAATAATGGGGTTACGTTTATGAAAACGGACACTGCTTCACCCTTCTCCCACTCAAATCCCAGAACTTTTGCAGTCAGACTAATACCCTTCAGGCTCAAATAAGAAAATTTTTCTACACACGCCTACACATATAAGGGAAAATAATAAATTGAACACAGTGGTTGCTTATGGGAAGAGAAAAGAATGTGGTGGCTGGTGGGAAAGTGTGAGGAAACAACTATATACATAATTGTTCTTTTAAAAAGTTCGTACATGTGCATATATTACCCATTCAAAAATAAAATGCATTCTTTACAAAATTAGTCACAAATGAATATACCCTTTGACACAGCAGTTCCTCTGTCATAATTTATATTATAGATATATTTACACACGTGAAAATAAAAGTACAATGCTACTCATTGCAATACTATTTTAGCAAGAGATTAGAAGCAGTCTCAAAATTCATTAACAGATGGTGAAATAAATTATGTTTAACCCTTCCTTGGAGTATTCTGCAGCCATAACACAATGAAAGATGCTTATTATATAAAGAAAAGAATAATCAAGTTATAAAGTGTGTGTGGTGGGGGTCAAAGAAAGATATCACCAGTTTATAAAAAGAAAAAGGAGGGGTATGTGTACATAGAAAGTATCTAGAAAAATATGTAAGAAATGGATAATATTGTGGTGCCTTTGGAGAAGAGATCTTGGTGGCAAGACAACAGTAGAATGAGGGAAACCACTGTATATTTTTGGTATCTTTTGAACATATCCAGTGAATTAAAAAATGTTAATGGAAAGAAAAGATGAATAATGGAGTTCCTGATGTTGATAATATCCTGAACAATAAGAGGTTTTTTACAGTAGTAAGGAGTGCTGGGTAACAACCCTAAACTCTCAGTGGCTTCCAACATGTCATGGTTATTCAGTGGTTTAGATCTGATTAGCCCGCACTCCAGGCTTTAGTTTTGGGTTCAGATCTGCTCCATGTGTCTTCATTCTGGGGCCCAGGCTTAAAAAACAAAAATACCTGGAGCATGCTTTTCTCATGGCTGAGGGTGAGAGTTTCTGGAAATTTGCCCTTCTCCTGCTCATAAAAGGCACATTGAACCCTTTACATATATTCTGTTAAAGCAAGTTCCATAGCCAAACCCAAAGTCAATAGGGTTGATATACACTCTTCCTATTGGGAAGTTCTGCAAAGTCACATAACAGATGGTGTGGGTATATACTTTTGCATGGTGAGAGGGAGCGGTGAGAACAATGGTGAAGGAAATGGGTTAATAGAAATATGCTGTGAAATTAAGTTAAAGATAGTTGAGAATAAATATGCTTAGAATATATCTATATATATCAACATACAGCATCCTCTTTTGAGAAGAATTTTCTCAGAGCTTCCATGTTAAGGTAACACATTGGCTTTGTATTATATGACATCTGTCAGCCCCACACCTGGCCCTATAACCTATTCTGAGTGCCCATAGGAACTTAATTATTGAAAATAATTAATGCATATGTAAAGATACCAGTTCTTAGAGAAGTAGTTCTAAATGTGTTTATTTCAGCTACTGAATGTGTTCATTTATAGTTCTTGTATCATATCCATGTTTGCCAACCCACCTTTCACAATAGGATCTTCTTTTCAGGGAGATGTCCTTTGCTCCTCAGATGTAATGCACTTTAAGTTTGTTATTCAACAGTGAAAATGAGTCATACAGAGGTAATACATATTTTCATATGTTCTGCATCTTCAAGATTCTTTGATGTTGTTTGGTAGTCATATGGTTCCAGAGTAATTTTCTTATTTTCAGCTTGTATTGTGAGCAGCAGTATAGCACTAATGGTTAAAAGTAAGGACTTTAGAGCAGACTGCCTAAGTTTGAATCCAGCTAGTGTCTATATATAATCTTGGGCATGTTACTTAACCTACTGTGCCTCAGTTTCCTCATCTATAAAATTGAGATAATAATAGTATTTGCCTCATAGTATTATTAGGAAGGTTAAATGTGTTAATAACTATAAAAAACTTAGAATAGTACCTGACACACAATAAGTATTTAACTATTAGCTATTATTAATAGCATTGCTTTTAAATCAGAGACTGTTACATGAATCATGGATCTTGAAGAACATTTAGTTATTCAGTTGTCTGAATAGGCAAGGAAGTAATTTCTGATCTCTCTATTCTTTTGAATTCCAGGTTAAATTGAAAATACCTTTTGGGAATAAATTACTAGATGCTGTTTGTTTGGTACCTAACAAGAGCTTAACATATGGAATAATTCTTACACATGGAGCTTCAGGAGATATGAATCTTCCTCATTTGATGTCACTGGCATCCCATCTTGCATCTCATGGTTTTTTTTCCCTGAGGTTTACCTGTAAAGGCCTTAATATTGTACATAGAATTAAGGCATATAAATCAGTTTTGGTAAGAAATTTTCTTTGTATTTACTTATAACAAAATTCTGTTAAAATTCTTAATAAATTTAAGACAAATTTTGTTAGCAGTCATTTGATTTAATTTAAATATCTTTAAATGAGTTTTCTTAGAAACTCAGCAGTATCTGAAGTTTCCATGGAGATTAGTGCTCACATCACTCCATGATACTGCCAGTGAAGCTACTTATGATGTAATTTTTTTACTGGAATTATTTAACTTTAGAATACAGTTATATTTTGCCTACTATAATATGAATGTACACATTTATCATGGTTTTCTATATATGTTATTTGGAAACTATAAAATCCCTGTATAACGTAAATCTGAAATTTCTTTTATTTTTTATTGATTTTGACAGATATGTGTTCCACTTATTTATGTATTCATGGGTTGATTCTCATATGTCTCCTACCAGGGATCAAACCCGCAATCTTGGTGTATGGGGACGATGCTCTAACCAACTGTGCTACTTGGCCAGGGCTGAAATTTCTTTTAATCCAAATTACTCTAAGCTTACTACGTTTTTCAGAGCTTTAAATTAAGATGTTAGTATTATTATCAAATTTTGTATTAGTTGGAAGCTTTTACTGGCATATCTGTCTATATCTTTCCATCTATATATATATCTTGTTCTTCTGTAAAGGTATTTTAATGTTGGACTTCTTTAGACTGATGAAATGGGTTTTTTTGCTTTACATATTTGCCTGTATTACCCAACATGATTTGACAGTGAAGGCATCACCAGAAGAGCAAAGAATTAGTTACCTCTTTCAAGAAGAATCTCTTAAGAATTTGTGGTTGTCTTTGCAAAGATTTTCATACATTTCAGTAATGATGAGAAATATATGTTGATTTTCCCAATGGAATGTTTTATAGAAGAATTGATAATTTTTTGTTGAATTTTTTTTTTTTTAGAGTTACCTCAAGACCTCAGAATACAAACTTGCAGGTGTTTTCCTTGGAGGTAAGTTACAATACTTGTTTTTAAATATAGGACTAGGTCATTGAGAATTAAAATAGATTACAGGAAGCTAATTTAAGGATTTTTTTTGTTTTGTTCTGGAAAGTCACTTACTTGTATGACATCAAAGTACTTTATATATTTATAGCAAATTTAAACCTCATATATATGTATTATAGCCCAAAGATTTCTCCTTTTATTTATACATCTGGTTCACCTCTCATATGATTCCTTCATGAGGATTTTCACAATCCTTCAGAAAAATAATTCCTTTCTTTTAAATTGATTTAGGATTAATTTTTACCTCTTCACAGCTTGTAAGTTTCCATTATGACTTGCTATTTGCCACCTTTTAGAGTTAATTTGTTGATAGACAAATACGATGGATAAACTAAATGAAATTTAATTTGCCACATTATCCCCACTACTTTGTGAATGTTTATACTTCAAACAACTTAATTTTAATTGTTTTTTAGGTCGTTCAATGGGCTCAAGAGCAGCTGCTTCTGTAATGTGTCATATTGAGCCAGCTGATGCTAATGATTTTGTTCGAGGTCTCGTTTGTATTTCTTATCCACTGCACCATCCTAAACAGCAGCATAAACTTAGAGATGAAGATCTCTTTCGTATAAAAGATCCTGTACTATTTGTGTCAGGCTCAGCAGATGAAATGTGTGAAAAGGTGAATTACAACTTGATATTTTTGTGCATGAGAGAGCAAGAAAGACAGATATGTTGGGAACAATATATTACCTGCAGTAGCCAGTCTTTTTACTGGTAAAGAGATGCTGATTTGACTAATTCGAGTTGTGAATTAGTTGCCCTGTTGCTTTGGAGAACCTAAAATAAGCATAATGACAAAATTAATCTCCCTGTAAGAATTGGTAAATGGATTAACTTTTTACTTGGGAAATGATTAATCTGAATCTTATGAGTTGGGGATTACTAGACTACATTTGGTTTATCATTTCAACTTTCAAGCAGATTCTCCAATTTTTTATAAAATTGACTCTTGAGGAAAAAAATAGTAACTTGTACATATTAGTAAATATCAGTGTATTTCCTAGCCTAGAGCATATAATTTCTTTGGGGAAAATATTTTTAGTAGATTTTTTTTGGCTCTATAATTTAATTTTTATCATCAACATTAAATACTTGATCTGTTCTGTACTATTGCTGTTTCTGAGAGATGGGGGACTTCCGGCCACTTCAGTAGACATTTCCTTGCACATTCCTTTGCCTTAAACGTTGTTCGTTGAGTAGGCATTTAATGAATATTTAGTGAATGGATGCTAGTGTAGGTGGGGCAGAAGAGAGAGAGTATTTTTATTAGACACAAATAGATCATTAGTCTAGTATCCTCTTCTTTTTTCCTTTAGAACTTGTTGGAGAAAGTCGCACAGAAAATGCAAGCTCCTAATAAAATCCACTGGATTGAGAAGGCAAATCATTCCATGGCAGTGAAAGGACGGTCAACGAATGATGTTTTCAAAGAAATAAATACACAAATTTTGTTTTGGATTCAGGAAATCACTGAAAGGGACAAGAAATAATTGTCTTTAATTAAAAGCCATGTTATTTTGAATACAAATACAGTTAATTTGATAAAGAACAGCATAACTCTCAGCATTATGAGGTATATTTTCAACTAACTTAATGTTCTTTAATGTTCCCCCATTTATAAAACATGTTTTAATTGTGAAATTGATGTATTTTACAAAATGTGTTTTGAAAGCATAGTTCTATAAAGATGATGCACAAATGTTGAAGACAGTCTAAATATAATTTATTTTTATTAATATAGTTAAGTTTGAAAAAATTAAACATTTGAATTTTGTTACAGTGAAACTTTTGTCATTTCTTTGCAGTTGAGAAAGTAATTTTGCAGAGGAGTGTCATCTTTAAAAAAGGAAAGCAACACTCATTTTACTATAGTAAATTTAGTCACTAATTCAGGCCCTCAACAATCTCATCTGTATAATTGCAGAAACCTAATTGATTTTCCTATTTCATTGTCTCCTTGCTTCAGTAAGCCACTTGATACCTCCAACTCAAAAACTTGGGAGATGTTCAAAGGTGATTATTAAGGTTAAAGTCCTTAATTTAAGGCCCTGCAAAATAGGCCCTATCAACATTTTAGCCTTATTTTCCCCATTCTCTAAACCTATACACCTTGTTTATAAATAAATGAGGCGTGTGGCCTGTCAGCCGTGAGTTTGACATACTTGCTGTACACAGTACTCTAGGTAACATGGACTACACAAATATCTCTCCTTGGAACCCACATAATATCTTGCTCTTTGATGTTAATCACACTTTGTCTTCTCAGTAGGTTATTAACATATCTAATCCATACCACTTAAATTACATACTCCTTTAAGTCAGGGAATAGTTTTTACTCACCTTTGTATATATAAAGCAGTTTTTAGTTACTTATTGAATGACTTATGCTTTCATTATTCAATAAATATTTGTTGTAGTGACCTATATGATATTCACAGAATTTCTAACCGTTATGAGCAATCCTGATTTTATATTGTTATTCACACGCCTATAATTGGGACTTTTTTCCTGGTACATAAAGAATAAAAACCTAGTTCACAATGTTTAAATAGCTCAAAGAATGTGACATTAATCAATATAGATTTTTTAAAACTTCAGTTTTTTTCCTGAGTGTTTTCCTGTAGTGTCTATTACTGTTAGTAATGTGATTTCTCTGGTGTTCATTATTTTTTATTATCTATGATTTTTTAAAATAAATTTAGCTTAACATTTATTTTTTAATAAACTAAATTTATTTTATTATTGATTTTAGAGGATGAGAGAGAAACATTGATCAGTTGCCTCCTGCTCATACTCCAACCAGGGATTGAACCCACAATCTGGGTATGTGCCCTGACTTGGAATTGAATTCACCATCTTTTTGTGTACAGGATAATACTCCAACTCAACCACACCAGCCAGGGTTAGCATTTACTTTTAATTCTTCTCACTTGAGACTGACATGAGAGGTCTCCAGTGCAAAGGACAGAAGTGTTTCATTTGTGCTGAAAACTAGGTAATTGTACTTTTATTAGTAGGCAAGGAAATTAAGTAACAAATATGAATGACAGAGCCCTGGAGGGGGATACCCTTTACCTCTGCAAACTTAAGCATCAGCATGAGAGTTACACAGAAGTTCCTTTTCAGTTTTTATAAGAGCTATTCAGTGGTATACTAATAAAGGTTCAGTGCCATAAGCTCTGAAAAATCTAAGGAACTAGAGAGTAAAGTGTTAAAACATTGAATCCCCTTTAAGGTAGTTACATTAAATGAATTAGAGAATGCCTGCCATAGGCAAGAGATTGTTTTGCCAGTTGCATTATTATTTCATAGGAAAAAATTTAAAAAATCACCCTATGTAGGTGAAGAGTCAGAGAGGAGGGTGTACTTTACCCTGAAATCCAGAGGAATTGCTGAAGTTTTTTCTAGAAGTAATGAATGCCTACCATGTATTCTACAAAGATATTCTTTGCAAAGATAACCCCAAGATAACAGTTAAACCTAAATTAAGCATGTAACTACCTGGAGGCTATGGTCCAGTAGACTGAAAGACTGTAAACTCTGACATTTAAAATGTGCCTTTGATCTTACTGTCTTTCACCCTCTGGGACAGTAAGAGCCCCAAATATCTTCCTTGCACTCAAACTTATGTGACCAAAGAGGCCTGAACACTATTTATAAAGAGTAATATTTCTTTCCTCAACTCACCTTGAATAAGTGAAGACTAAGAATTATATCTTCAAAGGGAAAGTACTCTAAATCCAAGGTAGTGTTAACATTTTCATTAATAGTCCATACTGTCACTACTTTGTGACTGAAATTTGAGGGGAAAAAAGTGAGCAGGACTTACTCTGCCCCACCCTATTCTGACAACAGGACGCATCACAGTAGTAGCTACTTCTTGGAATCACCAGCCAGGGTGAAAAGGAAATTTGCCTGGAGACCATGGTAAAATCTAACTTTGGTTTTCAGCATAATGGTAGATTGTTGAAGAGGAACAACAGATCCATCCAGTAAAAGGAAATATAAAAGTAGATGCTTTAAAGTTAAAAAATAATCTGCAGACCCATTAGAGACGAGCTCTCATGTCCTACATAACAATGAGGTATACTAATAATAATAAATTATTTGGCATTTATCTTAAATTTAAACTAGGTCATCTAGCTTTGTTTTTTTCTAAATCTGGCAACCTTACATTTTTATTTTCCTGATTAGAAAAAAAGCATAAAATGTACTATTCCTGGTGGTAATAGGAAATGGTATGTCCAGTCAATTTTATTCTACATTTGAATTATGGGGCAGTGATAACTCACCTATACTACCCTTAGAATTGTGTTTCTTTTTGTGAAACTAATAGAGGATTATTTAAAAATTTTTAGCCCTAGCTGGTTTTGCTCAGTGGATAGAGCGTTGGCCTGCCAACCAAAAGGTCCCAGGTTCGATTGCAGGCAAGCCCATGTACCTTGGTTGTAGGCTCCTCCCCAGCCCTGCCCTGGTCAGGGCATGTGCCGGAGGCAATCGATGTTTCTGTCTTTCCCTCTCTCTTCCACTATCTCTAAAAAAATCAATGGAAAAATATCCTTGAGAGAGGATTAACAACAAAAATTTTTTAAGTAAAAATTCTATAGCACCACACATCTCATTATTGCTAAAGTAAATTGCTATGAACACAGTTAAACACCCACTCTGACACCTAACTTTATTTAATCACTGCTGCCCTTGATAAGATACTGAGAAGCCCTAGAAATTTTTTTTCTGGCAGAGTGCTGCATGTGGTTATGAGATGAGGAGGACTTCAGAATGATAATTTCACATATTTAAAAATGTCAGCAATTTTTTTAATTTTAAAAGCTGTGATGCCGTAACCAGTTTGGCTCAGTGGATAGAGCGTTGGCCTGCGGACTGAAAGGTCCCAGGTTCGATTCCGGTCAAGGGCATGTACCTTGGTTGTGGGCACATCCCCAGTAGGGGGTGTGCAGGAGGCAGCTGATTGATGTTTCTAGCTCTCTATCTCTCTCCCTTCCTCTCTGTAAAAAATCAATAAAATATATTTAAAAAAAAAAAAAGCTGTGATGAGTGGATTGGAAGATAATGCATTTTGAACTTATAGGACCTTCTACACCTGGACTTCTCAAAATGACTGGATGCCAATTTTCTTTATTTTAATTTTCCTAGGAGTTATTTTTGAGATCGTGCTCATAAAGATTTGACTTGGTTTCAGAAAAAGTTTGCACTTCCAGAAAAGGGTAGTTCAGATGCCCAGAAGGTAAGAAAGAAAAAAAAAATGGTTGATTTCTTTCTCTCCTATTTTTCAGTGTCACATACAGATAACATAAAATTATGGAACTTTGATATTGGGATTATTCTAACATTTTATTATCTCCCTTTTTAACAATATGTTTTTATTGATTTTTAGAGAGAGGAAAAGAGAAAGGAGAGAGAAACATCAATGTGAGAGGGAAACATTGATCAGTTGCCTCCTGCAAGCCTCCCACTGGGTATTAAGCCCACAACCTGGGTATGTGCCCTGACTTGGAATTGAACCAGCGACCTTTCAGTGCACAGGATGACGTTCAACTAACTGAGCCACACCAGCCAGGGCAAAATTATAAAACTCAACACCAAAAACAAGACTTCAATTAAAAAAATGGGCAAAGAACCTGAAAGACACTTCTCCAAAGAGGACATACAAATGGTCAATAGACAAATGAAGAGAGACTTAATTTCACTGATCATCTGAGAAATGCAAATTAAAACCACAATGAAATATCACCTCACACCTGTCAGAATGGCTATCAATAAATAACAATTATTGGGGAGGATGTGGAGAAAAAGGAACCCTTGTGCAGATTGGTGCAGCCACTGTGGAAATCAATATGGAGACACTTCAAAAAATTAAAATTAGAACTGCCTTTTGATCCAGCGATTCCAATTCTGGAAATTTATCCAAAAAAACTGAAACACTAATTCAAAAGAATATAGTCACCCTTATGTTCATTGCAGTATTATTTACAACAGCCAAGATTTGGAAACAGCCAAGTGCCCATCAGTAGAGGAGTGGACAAAAAAGCTGTGGTACATTATCATAATGGAATACTACTCAGAGGTAAAAAGGAAATCTTACCCTTTGTGAGAGTATGGATGGACCTGGAGAGTATTATGCTAAGTGAAATAAGTCAGAGAAAGAGAAGTACCATATGATTTCACTTATCTGTTATCTAATGAACAAAATCTATAATAATAAAAGCATAATATGCTAATTAGACTGGATGACCTTCCAGGCGAAGCCAGGGCTGTGAGGGAAGCCGGGCCAGGGGAAGAAAGGCCTACTCTTGAATGAATTTCGTGCATCGGGCCTCTAGTAAACAAAATAGAAACAAATTTATATAGAGAACAGACTGACAGCTGTCAGAGAGGAGAGGGTTGCGGGGGAGCTTGGCTGAAAAAGTGAAGGGATTAAACAAAAAAAAAGGAAGAAATAGACACAGGCAACAGTGTCAAGATTACCAGAGGGAAAGGGGGATGAGGTGAGGTAGATGAGGGTTAAGGGGGGATAAATGATGATGGAAGAACTGACTTGGGGTGGTGAACACACAATATACAAATGATGTATTGTAGAATTATCTAAAACCTATAGAATTTAATGTCATCCCAATAAATCCAATAAAATATGCAAATTTGCTTTCAAATCTCCTCTTAAAGCCCACGATATAGAGAAATGTAAGAAAGTAACTAGTATAGTTATGGGACCTGCCCCATAAGTCTCAAACTTTCAAATAGTTATCTTTCACATTCCCAGGACAAAGGTATATGATGATCATCTTTATTTTCTTATTTTCTAAAGGGATAGAAGTTTATCCTTTTAGTAAAGAGAGATTGATTAGTTATATAGAATTTTTGTCTTTAAACTTTTATTATAGGAAAATATCCTATATAATAAAAGCCCAGTGACTGAAACGACAGAACGACCAGAACGACCAGAGACGAGAATGACCACGGCTGGCCCCACCCCCCAGTGGGGACCCCCACCCTGATCCGGGGCTCCCATCAGGGCAAGCCGGCCTGCCCCCACTCATGCACCGGCCCTCTATCCTATATAATAAAAGGGTAATATGCAAATTGACCCTAATGGCAGAACAACCAGAATGACCGCTGGACCAGTCACTATGAAGCGCACTGACCACCTCTTGGTCCCTTTCTCTGGCCAGTAGGCTCCGATCACCCAATGGCAAATGGGGAACTGGGGTGAGTGGCGGCAGGGGACGGGGCCAGGGAGCAGGCAGAACGGCCAACCTCTTGGTCCCTCTCCCCCGGCCATCAGGCTCCCATCACCTGATGGCGAATGGGGAACCTGGGATGGGTGGTGGCAGGGGGCAGGGCCGGCTGCAGGCAGCTGGGCAAGATGGCCCTGATTGCAGGCCAGGACTAGGGACCATACCTGCACACGAATTTCGTGTGCCAGGCCTCTAGTGAATATACACTGAGTGGCCAGATTATTATGACCACCCCATCAGTACTTCATTGGGCCACCTTTTGCCTTCAATACTGCGGCGATTCTTCTTGGCATTGGCTCCACGAGATGTTGAAAGGTGATGCGAGGAATCTGACACCATGCCTGATGAATAGCACTGTCCAGTTCTGTGAGATTTGATGGTTGTGGAACCAGCTGCCTGATGGCTCTTTTAACTTCGTCTCACAAATGCTCAATTGGATTGAGATCTGGTGATTGTGGGGGCCACCTAAGCAAGGTAAAGTCTCCCCCATGTTCTTGAAACCACTCCTGCACAATACGAGCACCATGGCATGGCGCATTGTCTTGTTGGAAGAAGCCATCTCCATTGGGATATGCCTTCAACATAATAGGATGAACCTGATCAGCAACGATACTTAGGTATGTTGTGCTATTCAGACGTTGTTCCACACGAATTAAAGGGCCCAAATCATGCCAGGAAAACATGCCCCAAAACATAACACTGCCCCCACCAGCTTGAAGGGTTGTACTCATGCATATGGGGTGCATGCTTTCATGCTGTTTCCGCCAAATTCTCACTCTGCCATCAGCATGATGCAACTGGAAATGTGATTATTGGACCACGTGACTTTTTTCCAATGCTCGACTGTCCAATCCTTATGTTCCTGTGTGAATTGGAGACGTTTTGTCTTGGTAACTGCAGACAGCAAAGGTGTTTGAACAGGCCTTTGGCTTCCATATCCCATATGATGCAGTGTATGGCTAATTTGCCTACAAACATCGGGTGGTCATAATAATCTGGCCATTCAGTGTATAAAACAGATAAGTTGTATACTTTAAGTATGTAGTTTATTATATGGCAACTATAACTCAATAATGCTGTTTAAATAAATAGACAAAAGTATTATGAAAACTCACCCCCGTAAATTTTTATTCAACTCATGGCAAATCTTATTTCATCTAAATCTCCACCCACTTCTTTGCTCCTATATAAATTTGAAGACATATCCATTCTTCTGTATATTCTGTTCATATCTATATGACACATAACCATATCACATTTAAAAAACATTTTATATACAATTTTTGTATTAATACTATTAATATATTAAAAATCAGTTCCCATTTCCAATTTTCTCATGTTATGACATTTTGAGTTTGTTTGAATAAGGACCCAAATAAGGTCCACATCTTTGATTAATTGCTTGATTGGCATGTCCCTTTTTTTTTTAGATTTTTAAAAATTAAATTTATTGGGTTACATTGGCTAATAAAATTATATAGTTTAAAATGTACACTTCTGTAATACATAATCTGTATACTCATCACCCCAAATCAAATCTTCAGATTCTCCATCTTGCCTTTCTTTTTGCAGTTGGGTAGTCTGTTCTATAGCATTTTTACTTGCTGCATTATGCCCACTGCATTACCAAGGTATCTTTTAATAGTCCCTCTATCTTCTCTTCTTCCTGTAAATTATACATTTTAATGACAGGCTTGGAACCATATAAGCTAAGTCCAGTTTAAACTCCAGCCAAGTTACACTCATGAGGAAAAGTAATGATTATTAAAACCAATGAGTTTTGAGGTACCTTGGTACACAGAATCATTGAGACATGTTAATAACTTTTAAAATCCTACATAAAATGAAAATGATATATTTCCAGTTGATATGCATTCTATTCACATTTTGGATATGAACTGGCATATCAGATTCTAGAAATGCAGTCCTATCTTAAAAGTCACTAGATGTCACCTAGTGAAAACAGTGACATCTGGCCTTGATATTGGAATTGTGGTTTTTCACATCAGAACCTTGAGAGGACAGAGCTTAAACACACACTTCTTTGAAATCCTCTCCCCAAAGCAGGAGCAATATGATACTAAAACAATACATTGCCCTAGAAGGGTACAGCCAACTCCCTGCTGTGCAGTAGTCAAGACTGTTTTGCATCATAGATGTTCAGGCTGCACTGACCAGCCTGTCAGGAGGGCCCAGCCACTAATTGCACCTGCAGAACCATACCTTTCTTAAAGCGTATATCCAAAACTCTTCCACGTTAAAAAAACAAAACAAAAATCAAAACCTGAAGGATAAAGTCAATATTTGGGAGCCCTGGAATGATGATTTTGTGCAAAAATAAGTCTTATTTGAAGGATCCTAGAATGTATTGTATCTTGATGTCACTCATAAAGTAGTACTTCAAAATAAATATATAATCAGGAAGTTTCTAATTTTAAAATTCCATTAAAATTGGTTACTAAATTCTTGTGCTAAAAAGAAAAATACGTCACTGCAATGTGGACCATTTCATCAATGCAGAAGCACCTCTGAAAATTCTCTCCATTAAGCCATGGGGAAACAAGCAAAAATTATCAAAAGCAACTTTTTCAGAATTCCTAAAATTAACCAAAGGCATGTAGCAATCTGAGGCATGTTTGTGCAATTAAAATGGCTGAATCTCAGAGCAGTGTGTGTATTTCATGATGTTTTAATTCGCCCAATCCCCATTCCATCTCCAGCTCCATGGTAGTCCTGAAAAGCAGCCTGGCAGTCATTGGAGGGAGCCACATAGGGTTGGGAGCTCCTCCAAACTTCCATTTCCAGAGAATTGTCATTATTTAACTTATCTGGTTGTTTTCTAGAATACCCCCAAGTGCAAATCAGTCTTTATTAGACAGGTTTAGTCAGATTCTAGAAAGAATTTGGTTTACACGACTGGAAATGCAGTCCTATCTGAAAAGTCAGATCTCTCTTAGGCCGAGGCCTTTTCCAGTGGCTGTCCAGATAATTA